AAAAGAAAGTTTAAAACAAGAATTGTTATGTACCATCGAATCCACTCTGACTCACAGCAACTCATGTACAATAGACTGAAACACTGCCTGGTCCTGTGCCATGCTCACAATCGTTAAGCTGGAGCCCATTGCTGCTACCACTGTGCCAATCCATCTTGTTAAGTGTCTTCCTCTTTTTAACTAACCCTCCACTTTACACAGCATGATATCTTTCTACAGGGTCTGGGTCCCTAGCGATAATTGTGTTTGAAGTATGAGAGACGAAGTCTAGCCAGTATGGCTTCTAAGGAACAATATGGTTGTACTTCTTCCAACAAAGATTTCTTTGCTCTTCTAGCAGTCCATGATACTTTTAATATTCTTCTCCAGCATCATAACTCAAATGGATCAATTCTTCTGTGATCTTCCTTGCTGATTGTTCAATCTTCACATGCATATGAAGTTACTGAAAATATCATGGCTTAGGTCTGGAGCACTTTAGTCCTCAAATTGACATCTTTGCTATTGAACACTTGAAATAGGTTTTGTGCAGAAGATTGGCCTAATGCAATACATCTTTTGACTTCTTGACTGCTGGTTTCATTAGTGCTGATGGTGGAGCCAAGCAAAATGAAGTCATTGAGAACTTCAATATTTTCTCCATGTATCATCATAGTATTTATTGCTCCAGTGGTGAAGATTTTTATTTTCTTTACACTGAGGTGCAATCCATACTGAAGGCATTGATCTTCATCTGTAAGTATTTTAAATCCCCTTTAACAGGCAAGGTTGTATCAGCTGCATATCACAGGTTTAATGGCTGCATGAAGGTTGTTAATGAGTCTACCTTCAATCCCGATGCCACTTTGTTCTTCATACAATCCAGCTTCTTGAGTTATATGCTCAGCATACAGATTGAATAAGTATGGTAAAAGAATACAACCCTGGCACACACCTTTCCTGATTTTAAATCATGAAGTGTCCACCACTTGTTCTATTCTAATGACCACCTCTTGGTCTATGAACAGGTTCCTCATGAGCACAATTAAGTGTTCGGAATACTCACAGTCAACAATGTACATGCCATTGCATAGACAATAAATCACAGGTAAACATCTTTCTGGTATTCTCTGCCTTCAGCTATGATCCATCTGATGTCAGCAATGATATCTCTAGTTCCATACACTCATCTGAATTCTGCTTGAACCTCTGGCAATTCCCTGTCAATGTACAGTAGCAATCATTTTTAAATTATCTTTAGCAAAACTTTATTTGCATGTGATATTAGTGATACTGTCTGATGATTTCTTCATTCCATTGGTCACCTCCATTTAGAATGGGCACAAATGTGGATCTCTTCCACATTCCATTGGCCAGGTTCCTGTCTTCCAAATTTCTTGGTTCAAAGATTTAAATTTGTATTCCACCATTTTTCAGAGCTAATTCTTTGCTAATGCTTTCAGTGTATCTTGGATGCCTTCCAGTACCACTGACTCTTGATCATATGCTACCTCTTGAAATGGTTGTACATTGATCATGTCCCTTTGCTATATTGACTCTGTGAATTCCCTCCATCTGCTTTTTTTCTTCTTCAGTTTTTATTGTAAATTGAGTGATCATTTACATGGGAGAACATCATCCTTACACTCATCCCATTGTACTTCGTCTCACTGCAATGACTACAATCCCCTCCATACATCTTCATTCAGCATCATTTGTTTCTATTCCCTTTGTTTTGTTTTTTGGATGTACACCAAAGAACACAGGAAAATACAACCATTCAAACAAACAACCAAAGGGCATACCCTGCACACCAGCCCCCTGGCCAACAGCACACAGACCCTCTCCCTCATTGAGCCTAGAGTCCCCAGTTGCTCCATCTCTCCATGTCATCGTCTCTGCCTCCATCTTTGGTGTCTCTGCTTCTCTGGATAGGGTCCCACACTCCACAGCTCTCTGTTGATGGTCCCAGGGTCCTCTGCTGCTGGGCTGCAAGATCAACCACTCCTCTCATTTTGTTGCAAAATGTCTACCTTTACATTTGCAACATTCACAGTCAATCCATGTTGACAGGAGTCTATTGAATGTCGTCAGACTTAACTCACAGCTTCATTGTTGTTTTTCCCCCACTTCAGCTTATGGGTAGACCAACAGGGTCACCAGCAAGATTACATGCTTGCTCATGTATTCCCTTTGAGTTTCAGTCTTGGAAGGGGGCTTGCCCTGAGGGGACTTGATTGCTTGCCTTGGTGGCTCCCCAGCGAACAACTTGCTTGTTCTTGTAGTACTCAATCAGACTGCCAGTATCGTTTTAGATGTTTCCTGCTGGTTTTTCTTTCAAGAAGTATCTTCGGTTCCTCTAGCTGCTCCAGGCTGGTCTGCTTGTCCTTTCAAGTGGAAATTTCCCACCTCAGAAGAGTCTGGATGGGGATCAGGATTCCACCTATTGTCTTATGCAGTGCAAAGGCTCTGCAGGAAGCCTCTTTCACTGGGCAAGTTCTAGCCCCATTTTAGGTATTCCAATCAGTTATAGGCTGAAGACAGACTTACAAGCTTTCTATAGTGATATTTCTGGTTATTCCTTTCTCTCCCCCTCAAGTGTTTGTTTTACAGTAGTAGGCAAGGGAACCAAGATTCATAAGACAGTCAAGTATCTTAACATTATTTCTCCTCTTTTACCCATTCCAACCATGCCTCAATCCGTTTCACAGAGTCCTGTTGTTCCAAGGTTGAACATGCATCACTATTTACCTCTGTCTCACTTAACCCATGCAAACCTGCCTAAATATTCTCCCATCCACCTTGTTCTTCCAATCCCCTCCCCCTTCTTATGTAGTGGACTCACTGATGAATGTACCCCCAACATCAAAACTAATCATGTGTCTATTCCCTATCTTGTGCTCCACCTTCTCCTCCCTCCCCTCGCCCCACCTCCTACACCTCCGTAACCAACAAAGATTTTTTTTTCCCTTTTAGTGTGGGTATTTTTTCTTAATCTTTTACAGTAATGGTCCTATGCTCTATTTATCCTTTTGTGACTGACTTATTTCACTCAGCATAATGTCCTCAAGGTTCTCCATGTTATGCAGTGACTTGCAGCTTCTTTGTTATTTTTCAAGGTAGCATAATATCCATTATGTGTGGGTACCAAAGTCTGTTTATCCATTCTTCCATTGATGGACACTGAGGCTGTCCCCATCATTTTGCTGTTGTAAATAGTGCTGCTATGAATATTGGTGTGCATATATCTACTCATGTTATGGCTTGTATTTCTTGTGGATAAATACCAAGTAGAGGGATTGCTGAATCATAAGGTATTTCTATTTCCAACGTTCTGAGGAAGTGCCATATTGTTTTCCAGAGTGATTGGACCATTTTGCATTCCCACCAACAATGTAGGCACATAATAATAACAACAACATAAAATAAAAAGGGGATGTCTCCTATAAACCACTCCCCCAAACTTATACATTTAATATATATTTTTCAAAATACGTATTCTTTTAATTTTTTGTGTGCTACAACTACCTTCTTTTTGTCATTTAGTATATACTTGACATCGTTTTGTCTCTTTTAAAAAAAACCAAAAGAAACCCCATATTATTTCAACCAGAATGTAAATGTTTTATTTCAACATTTTCCTTTTGCCATTAATTTGAATGATTCACAATTTTTGCTAGTCTAAGTAGTGTTGCAGCTAGTACAAGTCTTTCATACTTGTAGAGGTACTGGTGCAAGGTATATTTCTAGAAGTGAATTGCTTGTCTAAAAATCTTGTCCTCTTCAAAGTCTCTTCCTTCTCTTCCCTCTGTTTTCTCTCAACCTTTATAAAAGGATTTTTCTATTCATAGAAATTTAACTCAAAACCAAACTCAAGTTGATTCCAAATCATAGCAACCTTATATAGGGTTTCTGAGACTGTAAATCTTTACAAGAGCAGACAACTTCATCGTTTTCTCTCAGAGCCACTGGTGAATTTGAACTCCTGACCTTGTGTTTAGCAGATCAGTTTTATCCTATAGTGCCACCTTGGCTCCTTTGATCAACATTTAGAAAAACATAATCTTAATATGACCTCTTCAAATATATTAAAAAGGTATCCAACTAATGTACTGAATATCTTCCCTTTTGATCTAATACAAGACGAAGGAAAGAATGAAGACAATGAAACTTGTGACTTACTCCTTGTCCATTGGATATAAACTCTATTTATATGAGAAAGGAGCCCTGGTAGAGTAGTGGGTTATGAGCTTGGCTGCTAACCACAAGGTCAGCAGTTCAAATGTATCAGTTGCTCTGCAGGAGAAAAATGAGGCTTCTCTTCTCCTTTAAAGTTGGAACCAACTCAACAGCACACATCTACCATCACTATTCATATGAGCATAACATACATCTTAAACCACATGTCCACTTCCCATCAGGCTTTGGAGAGCTGAAGAAGAAATAAGACATTATATTTTATTCTCCAGTGTTGTTAGGTGCTTTTGCATTGATTTTCACTCCTCCTGATCCCATGTGACAGAATAGAACTACCCCATAGGGTTTCCTAGGCTGAAATCTTTACTGGAGCAGATCTCCATGACTTTCTCCCACAGAGCTTCTGACTGGGTTGAAACAGCTAACCTCATGGTTAGCAGTTGAACATTTAATCATTGCATTCTATTTTTTCCTCAAGTTATTTTTTATATCAACATTTAAAAGATATTATATATGCATACTAACATTATCAGCATACAGTATATGCTTCTTTTTGTTCTTTAACTTATTATTGTGAATTGGGGGAAGATTTACAGAGTAATTTTCCACTCAACAATTCATACACAAATTGTTTCATCTCACTGATTGTAATCCCTACAATGTAACATCATTTATTCCACTTCTTTTGTTTTCTGTTCACTTCTTCCTTCTTTCCTAATCCTTCCAAACTTTGTCCTTGGGTAAATGCTGCCCTTATGATCTCAAATAGTTGATTAGTCCAAGGAGTGCATACCTCCCTAGTGTTATTGTTCTCCTTACAGACCTGTCTGTTGTTTGGGTGAAAATTGAATCATGGGAGTGAGTTCATTTCCAGACCTGAAGAGTGACTAATGGTCATAGTCTCGAGGGTTCCACCAGTCTCTACCCAACCAGTAATCCTATGATTTTGAGTTTTGTTCCATATTCTTCTCCTATTCTATCCAGAACCTTCTAGTGTGATTCTTTTCAGAGCAGTTGATAGAGCGATTGGCAGGCATCATCTAGTTTTTCTAGTCCCAGGGTCATGGCGAGTGATGTTTACATGATCCATTAATCCAATGGACTACTTGTTTCCAGGGCCTTCAATTTTCTTCACTCTTCTTTCCTCCAGACATGGATTTTAGATTTGTTCCATATTCTGTGGTTATTTTCACTCTCTCTCTTTTTTCTTTTCAGATTCCACAGAGGCAATCTTTTACCGAATCACTTCTGGCGATCTAGATGGAAAGTTCTCTATTCACCCTTGGCTGGGCTATATTCATACCCAGAAGCCTCTGGATCATGAAACGCAGCCCATTATTGTGCTCACTGTCCAGGCACAGCTGGACAGTTCCACAGTCTGCAGTAGCACGGAAGTCAACATAACTGTTCTCGACGTCAATGATAATCACCCTGCTTTTCTCACAGATACTGCTGAGATTAAAATATTTCAGAGCACGCCACCTGGCACAGCCTTGTACCTCGCACGAGCAAAAGACAAAGATAGTGGTCTGAACGGGTTTATCCGATACTCCATTACTAGCCAGACTCTAGGCATCTTCACCATTGACCGGGACCTTGGTGTGGTATACCTCAATGAGAGTCTGGGTGGAAACACAGCACAGAAGCACACCCTGACACTCATGGCTGAGGACCAGGGAGTTCCTCCTCGGGCATCCCTGTTAGTGCTGACTGTAGTTATTGAAAAACAAAGATCAAATCCTCTCTTGACATTTGAAAATTTAGTCTACCAAGTAGAAGTTAGTGAGTCCCTCTCATTAACTACCCACCTGCTGCAAATACAGGCATACCCACTTAGCCCACAGAGCACAACTTCACAGCTCATGTATTCACTGGAGCCCAGCATAGATTCTGCTGCATTTGGCATCAGCCCTTTCACGGGTTGGATTTATTTGCGGCGACAGCTTGACTATGAATCTGCACAAATATATCATTTTAGAGTGTTTGCCTGGATCTCAGATGACAGATTATTGCAAAACGTGAGCACCTCAGTAATTGTCCATGTCCTGGATGAGAATGACAATTCCCCTACCTTCTTGCAGGATGTGTTGTTTTTGAAAGTCACGGAGAGTCCTATTCCCCAAGGGGTAATAGGCAAGATTACAGCAGTTGACAAAGACTCTGGGAAGAATGGACAACTCTCATATTTCCTTTTGTCTGATGGGAAATTCTTCAAGATGAATTCTAATACAGGTAGCGTTTTGTAGCTTCCACCTATTCTTTTAAAACTAGGATTAACAAGACTGAAATCTTTCAGGTATCACATTAGTGCTATTGTTTGTTCTTAAGTCCATCGAGTCACTTCCAACTCATAGTAAGTAACCTTGTATAGAGCTTCCAAGAAACAGCTGGTGAGTTTGAACTGCCAACCTGTGTTGTTCAATTTGTACAAGCACATAGTTAAAGCTATTGTCTAGTGTGGTGCTGTGGGCTAGTGCATCAGACTGCAAAGTTGTTTGAACTGCAAGCACGGTGGTTCAAGTCACCAGCTGCTCCTTGGAAACCCTATACAAGGTCACTATGGGTCGGAATCGACTCGATGGCACTTAACAACAATAACAAAACATTGCCTATAGTAAATACACTTATTACATTGTAATATTATATGTCCTGGTGATCAGGATACTTCCTCCCTTTCCTCCCATTGAACCTGACTTGGCATCACCTCGTGTGGTGCTGTAGGATCAGCACTCGACTGCTAATCACAAGGTTGGTGGTTCAAACCCACCAGCAGCTCCTTGGAAGCTCTGTACAGGTTTTCTATGAATCAAAACTTGATGGCATTCAACAACAACAACACCCCAGCCCCAGGCTAAGCTGGCACCAATGACTTTTAAATGGCTGCTACTTATCAAATAGAATTGGTCCTTCCAAAAAGATCTGTTTTCCCTTCAGGACTTCAGGTTTTCAAAGAACAGGAGCTTGAAATTAAAAAAAAAAAAAAAAAAAAAGGAAAAAGATCAGTTGCTCTGTGTGTTTTTTTGTTAAATAAAAATAATATTAAATATAATAAGAAATATTGTACTTAAACTCATCATTCCAGCAACTTATCCAAATGTGAATTTCCTTTTATATGCTCTTCTTTTTGATTTTTGTTTTGTTTTGTTGTTATTGTTGTCAGTTGCTGTTGAGTTTATTCCAACTTCTGATGATCTCATGTATACTTAGTAGAACTGTGCTACATAGGGGCTTCAAGGCTGTGACCATCTGGACACAGATCACCAGGCTTGTCTCCCAAGGCCGCTCGAGTGGGTTAGAACTGCCAGTCTTTTGACTAATATTCCAGTGCTTACACAATGTCATTTTATATGGATGAAGAAGGCCAAAAATTCTAGAAATAGCAAAGGTAGCTGGTTACTTCCTATGTGTTGTTGTTGGATGCTGTTAAGTCAAATCTGACTCAGAGTGACCTCATGTGACAAGAGAACTTCCCCATGGACTGTTCTTGGCTGTAATCTTTATGGAAGCAGATTGCCAGATCTTTCTCCTTTGGAGCCCCTGGGTGGGTTGGAAATGCCAGGCTTTTGCTTTACAGCCACGTGCTTAACCGTTACACCATCAAGACTCCTTTACAACATGTTTTTATTTCCCACACATTGACATTTTCATGAATGGTGAGTTAATCAGTGTGCAGCAGGGGATCGACTGCCCATGGGAACACGTGACCCCACCATCCCTCAGTGGTAGACAGGGGCAGTTAAGATTTTAGGTTTGAGTTTCTATGGCTGAAACATGAAGGAAGTAACATAAGGTAGCAGAATTCTGGGCAAGCATATATGGAATAAAGCTTGGAAAGCTTTCACAGTTATTCTAGAAGTTACTACCCTTTGTTGTTAAGTGCTGTTGAGTCAGTTCTGACTCAATGTGACCCTGTATAGGGTTTCTGAGGAGGAGCTGGTGAACTTGAATGATCGACTTTGTGATTCAAAACAACTTTGCAGTCCAGTTCATTAACCCACAGCACCACACCAGGATTCTACTACCCATCCCTACACATGTATTTTATGAGATAAAAAGCATTAACTATAAAGGTGTCCTGGTGTGACTCTGTGGGTTAATGCACCAGACTGCAAAGCTGTTTGAACCACAAGGTTGGGGTTCAAGCTCACCAGTTGCTCCTCGGAAACCCTGTATAGGGTCGCAGTGGGTCAGAACTGACTCAACGGCACTTCACAACAACAACAACATATAAATAAAAGTATTGGATCATGGTGTGTGAGAATTATATTGGATGTGATTTATATTGTTAATACTCTTAACACTCAGTGTCTATCCCTTTTGCTCTGCTCTATGTTACTCAGGTGAACTTGTAAACTGGGTGGCATTGGATCATGAGCACCAAGGACACCATCAGGTGACTGTCCTAGTAACTGACCATGGCTCTCCACCGCGAAATGTAACCATGGTTGTTTATATATCGGTTGTTGACATCAATGATAACAAGCCATATTTCCCACAATGTCTGCTTGGGGAGGAATTGCACATCAAGGTATGTGGAGTAGCCTCACAATGCATTTTCAATATTCTAAGTACATGGCATTATACATTTGTTTTGAGCACCATCTTGTGGTAAAAAGTGAGAATTAGTCAAATCAGTCAGTATGGCAATGCATACACTTCACAAAGACCTAGAAACGTGTGTCAAGAAAGACATTTTTAAAATAAAACTATTCTGAGTAATATTTGGGACCACACATTTAGCTGTCTTTTAACAATGTAGTTCTGCCCTTTGTATGCAAACATCATGGTATCTCTTTGTGCAGGCCATCTGAAGAGCAACTGATATGCATCCCTAAGTTGGTTAGTTAATGGTAGGGAAATAACTTGTAGCTCCAAAGTGGGTAGCTGTACACCCAGAAGCTATAAATGCTGATCCTTTTGAGCATATGCACAAGCCTCCAATTATATATTTTTGCTTTATTCTGATTCATATTCATGATTTTTTATGTTTCATAAGATATATAGTTCATGTACATAATGAATATACTTTGGAGCTATTGAGAAATTTTCTTTTTATGAAAGGGTTATAAATGTTCCAAAACACTTGTATTAGACATTCAAACTGTGTCCAAATATACATAATGAACAATTTTTAAAAGATCCTGAGTAAGTCAATAACTTTAACTTGATCTTCCAAAGCCAGATTTAAAGAAATATCTTACAAATCAAAACACTGTCATAGTATCTTTATGGCTTTTAAATGTATTATTAAAATATCCGATAGTTTAATGAAAGTCAAAACATTGATTTTTTTCTTTTATTAATGTATAAATTCCTGTTAACTAATTAGGGATGTTTCCTGTAATAAAGGTTCATGTATACCATTTTTTTAATACCATAACAATACCCTTTTGAAAACTTTCCCAAGGTAATGAGAAGATACTAGAACTCCTAAAATAAATACAAATTCTAAGATTGTGTTATTTTTCTTCTTTCTCCTTCTTTTAGGATTAGTTTAAATGGTTCAGATAATTTGTTCAAATTGAGTAAAATATTTAAATTTGTTTGATGAATTCATATCATGAACTTATACCCATATAACTTTTATATGGTTGTTGTTGTTAAGTGCCGTAGAGTTGGTTCCGACTCATAGGGACCCTGTTGAGGGTTTCCGAGGAGTGGCTTGGTGAGATTGAATTGCTGACCTTGTTGTTCAAATTGACCTTGTGGTCCAGTGCATTATCTCACAGTGCCATGCCAGGATGCCTTCATATGATAGTTTAATTATGTAGGGATTTTTAAATAGCTTAAAATTCTTATTAATAATGTGCTCTTACTTAAAGGTTAATTGACATTTCTCTTTTAAATGTTCACTAATTTGTCAGCTATTTGTTTTAATGACAGGTTCTAGAAGGTCAACCAGTAAATATGTTAGTTACAACCGTGTTTGCAAAAGATCTTGATGAAGGAAACAATGGAGAAGTTATATATTCTTTATCTTCAGGTAACAGTTTAAGAACTTTGAGAATGTCCTTTTTCATTTATCAACTGTCTAATTCTGGGAAAAGAGGTTCTGCTTTGATTACTTAGAATGCGCTAGTTAGCTTAAAAAAAAAAACAAAAACAAAAAAAAACCAAAAAAAACCACCTTACAAAATACACTTGCTATAGTTCAAATCACCTTTTAAAAAACAAAACAAATTAAAACTTTAAGGAAATAACAGAGCAGGAATCCTAAATAGGAATCATCCACCTTAAGTGAATGGTGGTGGTTGTGTGCCTACTAGTTGGTTCCTACTCATAGCAACCTATGGATGTAAATCTCTATGACAGCAGAAAGCCTCATCTTTCTCCCTCAGAGCAACTGGTAGATTCCAACTTCTGACCGTGCAATTAGCAGGCCAGCTCATAATATACTATCGTACCACAGCTCCTTCTTTAAGTGAATAAATAGCTGAAGTAGTGGTTACCAATCGGGCTGCGAACCTCAGGGTCAGCAGTTCGAAACTACCAGCTGTTCCGTGGGAGATAGAGGACGCTTTCTGCTCCCGTAAAGATGTACAGCCTCGGAAACCCTGTAAAGGGGTCTCTATGAGTCGGAATCGACTCCAGGGCACATAACAACAAAGGAGAAGGAAAAATGCAAGCATGCATTAAAGAATCTTCCTTTGGCTATTAAGTCAGTTTAGGTCAGTAAGATCTTTGTATCTTTTTTTTTCTTTTCTCTAGTTTTATTTTAGGCAGGGGAAGCGAACATATTTACTAGTATGTTTGTGAGAGAAAACGAGAGGGGGAGGGGAACATACACACATATGCACATACAAATGCATATGTTGTTGTTGTTGTTAAGTGCCATCGAGTCGGTTCCGACCCATAGCGACCCTGTACAGGGTTTCCGAGGGTGTAAATCTTTACGGGAATACAAACAGATTAATATAGTGAGCAATAATCTGCTATATTGCCATGGTTGTTGCTGTCATTGTTGTTGTTGTTAAGTGCTGTTGAGTCGATTCCGACCCATAGCTACCCGGTATAGGGTTTCAGAGGAGTGGCTGGTGATTTTGAACTGCCGACCTTTCAATTCAAATTGACTTTGCAGTCCAGCACATTAACCCACAGCACCACACCAGGACTCCATTTTTTACAAATTATTTATGAATACATGAAATAGGAAAATATCTTTCCACTTTAGAAAAGTCTTTAAGGAAAAAAGAGAGGATTTGGAGATATACACATGTCCTGCCACTGTATATACATTCTGTCATTTCTTTAAGAAAATTGAAGAAAATATTGAGAATTAATCATACTGGAAGCTGATAATCTGGATGGTCATTGTGAATTTTCTGAATATTTGAAATACTTATTAATTTTTTTAAAAGTCAGCTTCTAAAGTGCTACTCAAGCACAGCAATATAAAAATGTTTATATGTATTGTCTATTCATATTAGCTTTTATTTCATTGCATTGGAAAATAGTAGCAATAGCAAAATATAAATTAAGATAAAAATCACAATATAATCGGAACAAACATACGCATTATATTCATGAAAGTGTTTTCCAGTATTCCTGTAAGAGTAAATTCATTGATGTATAGAAATCAAAACTAATAAAGGTTGCATGATTGTATGCTTTTGAGTCAGAGATATATGAAGGTAGGGGTCCTTTATTACTTATTTGGCTAGCCTCCATCACTGTGTCTATGGTAATAACTCAGTTACTGTTGAATGAAAGAATGAAAGAGTTTCAAGCTTAAGCTTTGACTGAGTTCCCTGGGTTGATTGAAGTATTCAAAAATTTAATTAAAGCATACAATAAATCTGCCATTTAATAAAAAACTCTTACGGTAAACAATTTGAATAAGATATATCAATATGTATGTAAAACATATTTTGTGTTTACATGTGTTCTCTGTCCACTAAAAAGGCATTGGAACAACAACCAATCAAGAAACGAGGAGCACCACTAATCCCAGAATATGTTGTTGTTGCTGTTAAGTGCTCTGGAGTTGGTTTTGACTGATAGCAATAGGGTCTCCTAACAGTAGCTAGTGGGTTTGGACCACCGTGCGATCCAGTGAATTATACTGCAGCACTACACCAAGAATATTGTTGTGATTGTTAGGTGCCATGGAGTTGATAGCAACTCATAGTGACACAGTGCACAACAGAACGGAACATTGCCCAGTCCTGCGCCAACCTCACAATTGTTGCTAAATTTGAGTCCTTTGCTGTTGCCACTGTGCAAATCCATCTCATTGTGGTTCTTCGTCTTTCTCTCCATCCCTCCATTTTACCAAACA